GAGGGAAAGGATGAAAAATGCAAACAGTGTGCATTGCAATTGGATCTGCTCAAAGTTACTAATACGGATGCTAGAGATGTACCAACATATTTTCATTGGTTGTAGAACTAATTAGGCTATATGACGGCTGGAGGATATTTGTTGCGTTTGTACTCAAGAATGAGTACAACACCTTAGTGTTAGAAGACACAATTAAAAAGGTCCTGAAGAAACTGCAACCATTACATTTAAACATTAATCTGTACATTTTTGACAGACACCCCGTCCAAGCAAAGTATATAGACCAATACCCTGAGGGAAGAACAATGAATGTGAATTTTCCTTCCTATTTTGAAGATGACATTCGGATCATTTATGCCATTACCCACCTCCTTATTAATATTATAAATGTTTTTTTTTTTTGAAAATACCATACATATTAAGAGCAATCTGGGAAGACAAAGACCCTTGCATCAACCATATTTCTTAAACAAGTCTTTGATTTGGATTCAGAGCTGGATGAAGACGAAAAAATGGCTCCACACTTGCTCAAAACGCAATTTTGTCTGAGTTATTACAAAGTATAACTACCAAACATCTCCCTTTGGACAAGTAACTGCGATCTACAACCATGACGTTCTTTTCGCATTAGATAACCTCTCTGTTCAAGATGATGAGCAGAATAGTTTGACGGCTACAAGAACTGTTACCGCTGCCTGTGACCATTTGTTCAAAAAATCTAAGCAATTATAAAGTGCGAGATTTGATTGCGGAAGCCGATTTTTTTTTAAATTTTTTGACTGCGACAACCAAAAACTTCTCATAGCACTAAAAGCTACTTTACTAACCTTAGCATCGCTTTAATTGAATATCCATGTATCTCTGTGAGGAATTGCTTAAATGACTTGAGAGAGCGACTTCATGGAAACAAGAAAGCGCTTTTGTAAAAGTCCTTCATATATAGGTTTGTGTGATGTTTGGTCTAGACCGCAAGCTTTTCTTGTTTGAAAGAAGTTTTAACATTTAGGTAACAAACATTCAATGTAGCTTTTTATGTTCTTATGATGATTTTATAAAGTTTGAAGAAGATCTTCAAAATCTACAATTTTATGAGTGGTTTGTGCGTTGTTTTCTATGTTTGTAGATATCGCCAACAAAAAAGGATTTAAAGGCGTCAACTGGCCACCACGCCAAACACAACGGAGGGGTCAGATCATTTTTATCGGCCACCGCAACACAACAGCTAATTTTGGCCAGGTCGACAGCCATAACAACAATTTTCGGCCACATTATTAAGGAAAATGACAATTTCAATAAATTGTTTTTATGTTAGAGTGTAAATTTAAAAAATGTTGTGTTAATTTCTTCTCTGTGAGAGCAAAACTAAGAATATGTTGTGAGTGAGCAAGTGTAAGTGGAATACGGGTCCCTTTATAATTCAGTTTAAATTTAGGATAAAAAGGGTCAAGGATGGGTGGGCAAAGTGCAGGAGCAGATTCCATCAAGCTCCTGTGTCATGGTTTTATGTAGTGTTTGTATTCGTCTTTGTCTTGTATTGATCCAAATTTCCTTTGTGTGTTCATTCCCTAGGGTTGATGGTGGCAGGGTTAAAAACCCCCTTGAAAAAAACGCTCCCTCCTAAGCTAGTGTGGAACCCCATCATAACGCTGCATTAGGCCGAATGTAACAAGCCAGTCTAGAGCAATTTGATGAAACTGTATTGAATACGTTGACCAAAATATTCGAGGGAAAGGATGAAAAATGCAAACAGTGTGCATTGCAATTGGATCTGCTCAAAGTTACTAATACGGATGCTAGAGATGTACCAACATATTTTCATTGGTTGTAGAACTAATTAGGCTATATGACGGCTGGAGGATATTTGTTGCGTTTGTACTCAAGAATGAGTACAACACCTTAGTGTTAGAAGACACAATTAAAAAGGTCCTGAAGAAACTGCAACCATTACATTTAAACATTAATCTGTACATTTTTGACAGACACCCCGTCCAAGCAAAGTATATAGACCAATACCCTGAGGGAAGAACAATGAATGTGAATTTTCCTTCCTATTTTGAAGATGACATTCGGATCATTTATGCCATTACCCACCTCCTTATTAATATTATAAATGTTTTTTTTTTTTGAAAATACCATACATATTAAGAGCAATCTGGGAAGACAAAGACCCTTGCATCAACCATATTTCTTAAACAAGTCTTTGATTTGGATTCAGAGCTGGATGAAGACGAAAAAATGGCTCCACACTTGCTCAAAACGCAATTTTGTCTGAGTTATTACAAAGTATAACTACCAAACATCTCCCTTTGGACAAGTAACTGCGATCTACAACCATGACGTTCTTTTCGCATTAGATAACCTCTCTGTTCAAGATGATGAGCAGAATAGTTTGACGGCTACAAGAACTGTTACCGCTGCCTGTGACCATTTGTTCAAAAAATCTAAGCAATTATAAAGTGCGAGATTTGATTGCGGAAGCCGATTTTTTTTTAAATTTTTTGACTGCGACAACCAAAAACTTCTCATAGCACTAAAAGCTACTTTACTAACCTTAGCATCGCTTTAATTGAATATCCATGTATCTCTGTGAGGAATTGCTTAAATGACTTGAGAGAGCGACTTCATGGAAACAAGAAAGCGCTTTTGTAAAAGTCCTTCATATATAGGTTTGTGTGATGTTTGGTCTAGACCGCAAGCTTTTCTTGTTTGAAAGAAGTTTTAACATTTAGGTAACAAACATTCAATGTAGCTTTTTATGTTCTTATGATGATTTTATAAAGTTTGAAGAAGATCTTCAAAATCTACAATTTTATGAGTGGTTTGTGCGTTTTCTATGTTTGTAGATATCGCCAACAAAAAAGGATTTAAAGGCGTCAACTGGCCACCACGCCAAACACAACGGAGGGGTCAGATCATTTTTATCGGCCACCGCAACACAACAGCTAATTTTGGCCAGGTCGACAGCCATAACAACAATTTTCGGCCACATTATTAAGGAAAATGACAATTTCAATAAATTGTTTTTATGTTAGAGTGTAAATTTAAAAAATGTTGTGTTAATTTCTTCTCTGTGAGAGCAAAACTAAGAATATGTTGTGAGTGAGCAAGTGTAAGTGGAATACGGGTCCCTTTATAATTCAGTTTAAATTTAGGATAAAAAGGGTCAAGGATGGGTGGGCAAAGTGGAGGAGCAGATTCCACCAAGCTCCTGTGTCATGGTTTTATGTTGTGTTTGTATTCGTCTTTGTCTTGTGTTGATCCAAATTTCCTTTGTGTGTTGATGGTGGCAGGGTTAAAAACCCCCTTAAAAAACGCTCCCTCCTGAGCTAGTGTGGAACCCCACCATAACGCTGCATTAGGCCGAATGTAACAAGTTGGCGACACAAACCCAGCCTAGCGCAATTTGATGAAACTGTATTGAATACGTTGACCAAAATATTCGAGGGAAAGGATGAAAATGCAAACAGTGTGCATTGCAATTGGATCTGCTCAAAGTTACTGATACGGATGCTAGAGATGTACCAACATATTTTCATTGGGTGTAGAACTAATTTGGCTATGTGACGGCTGGAAGATATTTGATGCGTTTGTACTCAAGAATGAGTACAACATCTTAGTGCTAGAAGACACAATTAAAAAGGTCCATTTATGACATTACCCACCTCCTTATTAATATTATAAATGCTTTTTTTTTTAAAGTACCATACATATTAATATTAATTTTCAATTCCATTACATATTTGTCAAATAAATCCTCTTAAAGTAGATTAACCCTTAAAAAAGTTCTAATGTACATGTCGTTTAACATTGCTTTAATTGAATATCCATGAGTCTCTGTGAGGAATTGCTTAAATGACTTGATAAAGTGACTTCGTGGAAATAAGAAAGTGTTTTTGTAAAAGGCCTTCATATAGAAGCTTGTGTGATTTTTGGTCTAGATCAAAAAGCGTGATTGCCCTAACCGGATCCCTTGACCGCAAGCATTTTTGATCTGAAAAAAGTTGTAACACTTAGGTAACAAACATTCAATGTAGCTTTCTTATGGTGATTTTATAAGGTTTGAAGAAGATCTTCAAAATCTACAACTATCTACATCATTTAATTTTACCTTATGAAATCACATTGCTTCGTTATATTCAAACAATTTCTTCAATTAATAAATATTATTATTTTTATCGAATTACAGGAGTTTTGGAGAAACTGAAATTCCTCTTTTTATCCATACCCATAGGAAGAAAAACATTCATGCTTCGGGCTAGAAGTGCATCAATAAGTTCTGTTGAATTCGATTTGCAAAACAGTCTAAATGGATGCTGATGTTGAATCAATTTTAGCCTCGTCAGGCGATGGATTTTTCGAAAAAAAAAACTACCAACAATGCAGGTATTCAGGTGAGAGAGACATTATAATTAATTTGTATATAGTATAGAAATTCTCCACAAAATCCCGATTCCTTTCCCTTTCTCAAGAAGGCCTGCTTCAGAAACAAAACAAGATTGGATAAGTACTGGTGATATCCGATGAGGTAGTAGCAACAGTCCAGCTGTTTGTACAATTTACTTTCAAGCAATGTTGTCAACCTGTCTTTAAAGGTTTAAATCGTTCATATTTTTTTTCCATTTCCTTAGTTTTTATTTTTTTAAGGGGCAACAAAAGTAAAAATATTTTATTATCCAGCTAAATTTTATTTTTATTTGATTTATTTTTATTTATCCAGCTGAAATTTATTTTTTATTGATTTATTATATTTTCACTATTAATATTTCAAAACAAATCAGTAACTCATTTTGGCCTGACTGTATGAAGCAATCAGATTATTTTTGTCCGAAAACTTGTTATCATTTCAAACTGCATGGGAATTAAAAAGAAGCAGAATAGGAGATTCGTCTGTCATATAACTGGAAGCCATCATCATCTGGATTCTTGTTTTCGGATTCACCAGAATTAGAGTTCCCCCAACAAACAATTCGTTAAAATTCTTGAACGAAAAACTATAATTGTTAGCCGATACAATGTCTTGGGGTGAAACTTTGAACTATTTAACTCTTGGAAATCCCATCAGTCAAGCTGTAATCAATTCAGCTTCAGCCGTTCTTAAGGGTTCTGTAAGTTTGTCCCGTGTATTTTGTTGCTCTGTTCTTTGTGTGTAATAAGTCTCCTTTACTTTGATTAACAATAGGGACTGAAACCAAAACAAGCCATACAGGATGTTGTCGTAGCTCCACCAAAACCATTGAATTTGTGGGAAATTGCTGGTAGCAATTATCACTTTGTTCGTTTAGCCGGTTTAAGCGGTGCAACTGCCGTTATAATGGGTGCATATGGAAAACATTATTTGGTCAAGATTATCGATGCCCAAGAACAAATGGAATCAAAGGCCGTGTTCGAGACTGCTAATCGTTTTCATTTCCTGCATTCATTTGCACTTTTAGCAATGCCACTGGCCCGACGTCCGGTATTGGTAAGTTGAATGTAATTGCTAATAACCATAAAAATGTTGGTGCAAAAGGTACAATTAAGGGGACCCCCATTCCCGGTTTTAAAAGAAATTATTATTTTTTTTTTTATTTAATTGGAACCTGAACTAATTCGAGATTCTCCGTATTCAAATGAAAATCTCAACAACTGCTGAAGATATAGGCGATTTATTATATCAGCATCAAGCGACGGATGAAGTGCTTTTTAAACTTAAAATGTGTCTTAGGATAAATGTAACTGATCAAGATCATCCTTATTTTCTAGCTTGGATTATGGTCAAAAGTAGGGTATTTTCCAAAAATTAAATTCCATAGGTTCGCAATTTTGTTTATTTTTGTGCGTTGTTAATAAATTTAAATTTACTCTTTGGAATGCCGTTGGAATTTTTGGATTCTAACGTTTCAGTGGTCCACCGAAAAATAATCAAAGGTGAAATCAAATGTGACCTGTAAAGGTAATCAGCCGTAGTTGGGCTTCTCTCAGTTTCTTCTGCCAATGAGGGGTTAATTTGGCTTAACTTCTTACGCGAAGTAGGAATTCATTCAATCAAGAATTCCCACACAGCACTTTTCGGGTAGTTACTTGTGAACTTCCGAATGAACTTGAGATTCTGAATGATT